CCATCATCTTATTTCTCAAATTTCTTTTACAAGCTGTCTAATTTTTCATACTTGTTTGTTTGTTTCAACTTCATCCAAATCAAAACCCCCCTTTTAGTTTCTTGTTTCAAAGTGTTTCAAATCTGTTTTAGTTTGTGTTTTTAAGTGTTTTGGTTCAAGTAAAAGTCAATTTTCGTCCAAAGTCATTCCTAGTGTCTAGTTTAAATTTATTTGGTTGTTTTAAGCTGTTTTGAGTATTTTAAGTTTGCTTTGAGTCTTGTGAGTCTTGTTAAGTGTTTTTAAGTTTAGTTTTATGTTTTTGAGTCAGTTTAGAGGTCATTAGCAAGCCCTCCTAATCCCCGGTCCAAAACGATCCCTACTTATACTTGTACTACAATTGTCAAAAGATGGTTAAATTTGTGCGTTAAGATAATTTTCGCATCACGTATTCTCCCATTGTGGCGAGTGTTACGGCTTCAATGAATGTAGAGGTATTTCTTTTCCCTCATGGACATCTTTGTGTGGATTTTTTCAACTGCTTGCCCATTCTCTCTTGCTTGCATGGATTCATTCATGCACGTATGAGGTGATTAATCCTTGTTGAGCATTGACATGTCTTTCTTTGTGTTACATGTTTACCTTGGATAGGTTCAGTGGCTTCTGATATTTCATGCTTATGCTTGCTGATATATCATTTCATGATGCACACTTTGTGCTTTCCTCACAGGTGAATGTCGATGGTCCAAATGTGGTAATTCATTTATTCTTGCATGCAAAGAGTGTTAGGACATATGTCTCTCTGGCTAACACTGGTATTCCGGTGGCTTCTATAAGTCTTCAAGCCCCCAATGTTGTTCTTTCTAATGTCTAGGCTTCAACTATTATGCTTCCTCTTGTTCATTGGAAGAGCAGGCTTCGATCGAGGAGTGGGCACCATGGCACGAGGCGTTTGGTGTTCTCAAGGATGAATGAGTTCAAGACTAATGCAAAGGTGCTAAACTCGATTGAAGAATTGCTTTCTCAGGGCGAGGCCTTCATCTTTCACACTGACTTTAAGGGTGAAGGTTCGCACGATGTTGCTTGACTTCCAAGCATGTTCTTTGAGAAGGCAGGGGATGCCGATAGAAACTTAAAGAACTTGTCACCCTATTTGCACAACATAGTGCTTAAGGAGCTAGAGGTCCTATTGTTGGGCATAGAGTGCGTGCCCTGCTCGAAGTTTACAGAACATAAGCCACTGTACTGGTGTGACATGATTAGTTATCTGATAACCCTGGGCATGCCTATAAACTCATTGGCCAAGAGATTGGAGAAGCTCCGTGACACGATGTTTGGGCACCACCTCGAGAAGGATAAAGACATTCTGGGGAAAACTTCCAAAGTAAGAGAGATAAAGCGTGCCTTTGAGCTCAAGCATAAAGAGTTGGAGCATGAGAGGTCCAAGTTGAAGAAGATATGCCATGGGAGTTCAAAGGAGATAGCGAACTACCTTCAGCTTGCGGCGAATCAAATGCAGGCTGATGCTTCCAACGTTAATTTGGAAAGGTAGCGCACTGAGGTTAGTCTTTTGCTTTTCCCAAGCAATGCATGTCACTTGGCTGTTTTCTTTACTTGACCTTCACTTTCCTTTTCTTGGCAAAGCATGATCCTGATGATGTTGTAGCAGTGAAATAGCAGCGTGATTGACGAAGAACCTGTTCTCCTTGTTTTATTTTACCTTTGTTGCATTTTTCCTTCTGAAGGGCTAGTTACTCCCTCAAACAATGGGCATGGGGCCTTTTGCGTTTTGTCTTACTTTATTTCTCTGTTTGCAAAAGCTTTCAACTGTAATATTGAACTTGGCATGATGTTTGGGATATTTGATCTTGGAATGACATTGGTATTTACTTTGTATGTGTGGGAATTTGTTGAGTAAAATCTTGTTAGATTGAGATACAAGCTTGAGCTTCTGCTTGTTTCCTAGGCAAGGATGGCTGATTTTGGCACTTTGCATTCTACCAGTGAGTTTCCCGGGGAAGGTAGAGAATGTCACAGGCTTGCTTCCTTAAGGAAATAAGGCATGCTATGAAGGCTCGTCTATAATTTAGTACATCATTCATAAATCATCCTTGCAAAAAATAGACAAATCCAAAATTATTAAGACATCCAATTGTAGTGAAAGAAGTGGACGGATACAGGATTTTCAAAGAAAGGCTACTATGACTACCATTTAATCCAACTGTCAAATGATTTTGGGTAATATTTTGTAGAGATGATTATTTATGGCAAACCTAAAAAATGAATGGTATGGTGGTTGAAACGGGCCGGTTCCAAATGGGTCCATGAGTCCAATTCCCTTTTCTTTTCTTGTTTTTTGGAATTTTGGATGGGTATATGAGCATTCAACTACAGTATCAGATTATTTTGGTTTGTAAGAATGCTGCACACTCAGAGTCCTAGCTTATTCAAATCCAAATAAGCCAAGAAGCAATCACCAATTTAAGCCAAGCTCTAATATTTGGAGTAGAACCTCTACGAGCAGAAGTAGCATGGAAAATAAAAGTATTATGAGAAGACAAGTAATTTTTGGGCTAATATGTTTGGATGTTGAGAGCTAGCATTACGAACACATGCCAACAAAAGTTGCAGAACTGCTATACTAGTGTACAAATACATATACTGGTATACTAGTAGTGCCAATTTACAAATATATATATATATAGTCCAAATTCAAATTGAGAACCGAAATTCTAGAACCTAAGAACTTAAAAACCCAGAACATACCAGATTCCAGAACCCATAACAGATTCCCCTTCCCACAAGCAATCTCGAATTGATTCTTAAAACAACATTCTATCAACATAAGTACTCACGCTAGAAAGCAATTTTCACAAATCCAAATTCAAATTCAAAAACTTCAATCCCTAAATCAGAAACTCACATAAATAAAAAACCCTATTTCAGAAATTAACTAATTTTTTGTAGGATGATGGTGGTGTTCTCGACGCGGTGATGGGGAGGTGGTGGTGGCAACTCGAGATTGGGAGTCAGGAGAAGATGATGGTAAATCGGTGATGATGGCAGGCTGTGTGGTGTATAGGAGGAGGAGACTCAGGACTCTGGAGAGGATTGGGAAAAAAACAAAAGTCGAATCGAGATAGTGAGCAGACTCCACCTGGTGAGAAACAAATTCAATCCCTTGATCCAATCCGTTCATTACAAATTCAATCCCTTAATCCAATCCTTTCATTTCATATTAGATACGGGCCGATCCGGCCCCATGCTTTCTAAGTTTTGGATCTGCCCCACCCCGTTTCTTCTTTGATAAATTTGTACCCACCCGAACCTGCCCCGGATCACAAGTACCCGTCCCGACCCCCAGGTCCTGGACCCGTTTACTCACCCCTAATTACCCATCTCGTGTTTTTAGTCACAAATATATTAATTACGTTTACATAATCTATTTTTTCAACTAATTATTTTTCAATGGACAAAATAGTTAGCTCATTTAGTCTTTCTTGTGACATAGTTGATCAAAGATATATTTGATCAACTTTAATTTTGAAAAACTTCTTTCTGTAGAGGCAACTGTAACTGGTATGGTTAACAAATTTCTATAAGCAAACCATGCATTCAAAAAACAACCATCCATTAGTCTAAGATATTTCAATACTTCCATTGCTCGAATTATTTTATTTGGTAAAGTTTCTTAGCTCTAGCAATAAGTTTTTCCCATCAATATTAGAATGCTCACCATGTTTCAAAAGTCTTTCAAGATTGATACATGTAAAAAATTTCTTTGTGTAAAATTATATCATTGCCTATGATTTTATTTTCTGATATTTTTATTAAATTTGAATTGTAAATATATATATGTATATATATACATATATATATATATATATATATATATATATATATGTTTAAAAATTGGGAGCCCCTCCAAAGTAGGGGCCCTAAGCAGGTGCCTATTTCGACAACGCCCCCAGATCTCTTTCATTGTCTTTTATCCCCCCTGAACAGAATAAGTAAGGCCCCGTCCTTTCTAAAAAAAAAAAAAGGGAAGTCGAAGTGACCCAAACCATGGCCCTATCGGACATAGACTTTGATTCAAAGGCAAGGAATCCATACATAAAGATATCGCAGGGGTCTTTGTTGCTGAATCTAAGAAAGATCAAACTTAAGATTCTTAGGGCAATGTGCAGCCTTTGAGTCCATTACACTTACGAGGACCTTCATGGTTGGCCTTAAATGGACCCTATATAGGATCCCTCAAATAAGCTTATTTGAGAGATGTGAATGGAAGGGACTAATACATTACATGTGCCAAAGAAATGTCCCAATCTGTAGTTTCTAAATAATATTTGACATTCACAAGAGATGAGCTACAACAGTTGGAGGAAGTTGAGGCCCATCTCATGTAATTTAGTGCTCATTTCATCAGCTTCTTCGTTTCATTTCAGTTGTTCCACACTTAAGTCCAACAGAGCTTCACTTTAATTAATTGAAATGGACATACTCTCACCGAAATCAATGTGATTCAAGATGTCATGCAATTGGAATAATCACCCATGATGTAAAGCACATTATTCTAGTCAATTTGATTAAACTCAAAGCTTCACGTACCCAACGGAAGCTTCTCGTCGGTGAAGACATTCTTAGACGGTATCAGAAAACAGTTGCGTAAGATTGTTGTCCTAGTAGAACAAGAGTTCAATTTCACGTCAATTTCAACAATGTCGTTTGTAGAGCTTTTCTATGAGGTTGTCAACCATTACACTGCTTTCCGACTCACTCAGGACTAGTTTTTGTGGTTTAGGATACAAAACGGGATTGAAACAACGTATTGAACATGAAATCGCCTTCCTACTCGAGCGTTATGGAATCAACAGCCGATGTTCTATCGATCATCAATCCATCACAAATTATTCCACTTCTCTTGTGTGGGAGGGTGAAGAAAGCTTCTTAACTATTGTAATAGTCAACTACTGTCCTTGTGTTAAATATAGTACAAAAATTATGCTAACAACCAAACGCCGGGATTGAAAAAGGAACATACTACTCAATAGTGAAAACATTTCTATATGGATTTGGCTTTTACAAATATTGACATCCCAAAAAGGACCAAAAGGATCATCTTTCTAGCTTCAGTAACTACAACTTAATTTACTCCACAGCGAATCCTATGACTGAAAATCAGCTGAGATATCAGAACCCGGCAAGTGAAACATTACATTAACTACCAAGTGTTTATAGAGGTGAGAATGGCAGCTACCAGGGGTCAATTGCCATGCGTGTAATACGCCGCTTCGTAGGCTTATTTATAATTGGTAATTCATTTTTACCTTCATTCCTTTCTGCTTCTGATTTTCCGATTTTCCGATTTTCTCTGCAACAATACTATCAAGTACCATGTCATCTGGCTTTCTCAACTGGGCATTCATTCTCTTCACCCCCGACTTCTTTTCCTTTCGTTTCTGCTTCTGTGAGTTGATTCCATTCTGCTTTTGATTTTCCACTGTCTGTTGTAATAAGATTATTAGCTGCCATAGCTTCTGTCGGTACGTTTTCTGCCTTCTCAACAGGACTATCATTTTTCGCAGCTTCATTGACCATGTCCTCTGGCTTGTGAACTGGACTTCTCTTCTCGTCACCCACAACTTTCTTTTCTTCTATAGCAGAATGAAACAGGAGTTACGATGCAATGGAAGAAATGATGGATACAAAAATTAGTGATAAATAGATTTAGAAAATGCAAGGACAAGAAACCTATTAAATAGATAGGCGACCCTAGTTCATCATTTTCAAATTCAACTAGAGTGCAGTAACCATCTTGGGAAGACAATGCTAGACAATGAGCGTCGGGTGACCTTTTGAACAAAAAATATCTGAGTTCAACTTTATCATAATTAAAACATCAAATAAATAGTTTATTGCTGAAAACTGATACAAAGTTTACCATGCAATGTCTGTTATGGCTACATATGAAAACCAGCAAAGATAGCAATTGGAGGAACACCCTGTGTCATAAATGTACAACGAATTTAGAGTGGCCACAGCAAAAACAATACGGTGGGGAAGGTTAAAGAACCAAGTTGCAAATTCACCAAAGACTATTGCATATTACTATCATCAATCAACAATGTTTGAAATTACAATGTAACCAGTGTGTGTACGTTGATTTGACCCCCGAAGGCTGAAAAGCAAAGGGTGGAAACGAACTGCTATAACAGGTTTGCAGGCACCAGGGAGCTGTACAGCAGGCATGTGTTAACATGAAATGGGAGAATAATGCAAGAAGAAAGTTCCCTTCAAATTTAGTTCATTTACTAGACCATTGTGAACTGAAAAGCACAGGGTCAGTCTATGAAACCCAACACGAAACTTAGGTGGACTTTATTCCATAATATACAAGACGAATCATTTTAAGAAAAGCAATATTCAGAACCAAAATGTAAATGCTATGCCTTGCCTTGAAAGGTCCTTCCTAGAAAATACATAAGCAGTATTTACTGTTTCTGTTGTGGGTGATACTTTGTAGGAACCTGAAATTGGAAGATTGTTGTGTCGAAAGAAAAGGAGCAAAGAACCCAAACCTTAGTGGTAAGTATAGATAGTAGGGAGTCAGGATTTAGAGGGATGTCTAAATCACCATCATCTTTCAGGAACATACAACGGGCCATCTCAGATTATCCTTTCATTGTTTTAAAACATATATGCACCAAGAAAAATCCTAAACAAAATTATAAAAACCCATTAAAAGTTCAAACTAAGTACGATCCTTACGTACATGCATACATAGGTGCATACATACACTTATAGGCATACTCTTATTTGTGTACGTATAGGCATATATGTACATACCTACCATGATTCCAAAGCAAGTCTAGGATACTTATATTAAAGACAGAAAAGCACAAAATCAACCTGAGTAAGAGCCTTAAAAAAGGTGCTTAACCTATCAAACAAAATGGCCCTAAACCAAGATAGCAATATCTACCAGACTGAATTCCAGCAGCACCTATGCTAACTTAAAAATCCAGCAGAAGTAGTCACAAGTCAGAAAGGTCTAAAACTGAAGTATGTTATTCTATAGACGCTTTAGTCCATAAAATTCCAGAGTTGCTGTACACTCATTTTATAGCCTAATACAATCATACATGTCTTGTGCGAATCTACCAACAATGGAAATTAAAATGACGTTTACTTCAAATCATCATAAATTAAATTCACTTCAAAGAGTCATGAAAATTAACATGATTGCAAATAATGGGCTCTTTTGAGTTTGCGTAACTCAATTAAACAAAAAACAATAGCATGACATACTTAAGGTCCTACAACACATAATGCACAGAAACAAATAAAACTAAGCAACCACTATACAGCTAAAAGCTTATTCACAAAAGGCACAGATAATGGATATAAACATTATACGACTTACTTAAGCACTCTAAATCTACCCAGTCATAGCCTATGCGGGATTTAAGGGTATCAAAGTTTCTTGTCCTTGAGGCCTTCGCATCTTCACCAACAAGAAAATCACACATATGACACATATACTCTTTGACGTGGCCCATTCCTTCAGTAGCCCCAAGATGTCATCGTAACAATGGCCCTTGAATCTCACAACTAGTTGATCTCATACCATTGGTAACCACCCAAGGGTGGCTCCATGTGTGCTAACTCAAGTTGGCATTTGGATTTATTACCTTACTTAAGTAACCTAGATCTTCCCAAATTGCAACTGATAGTGAGATTCATGAATATGACATTGTCCATCTAAAAGATAATGGAGCAAATTACATTTCTCCAAAGCAGACTTAACCCAATGGTCATGGTACTAAATCAGTTACAGTCCTCCCCTAGAGGTCTATACAACAATAATTGCCAACAAAAAGGTGGGAGGGGGGAAACAAACATACAATTCCCATTGGAACACAACCGACCATTGTGGACATAAAATTACACTACATAAGTTCACATTTCAGTGAGCATTGTATTGAGGCTAGTACCTGCTGGAACAAGCAGAAAAGATCCATGAGGTGACCATGCTAATCTTCGAAAGAAAGATGGCAATGTCTCATCAAGAAAGAGATGGTTTTTGCAAACTGCAGTTTAAAACGTCAAGAAGCTTCACATGTCTATTCCATCTATTATTATGATAAACAAAATACATAGACAATTTACTATCTGCCAACCTTAGAATCATCCGAAAGTGGATGTTCGGCCTTCAAAATAACATGCTCAGAAACATAATTTACCTTCTCAGCACCTGTCCCTTTTGATTGAGGTTTCTTGACATAAATGTGACAAGTCCTATCAGAACTAAGGGAAGCAACGTAGTTGACCAATGGGTCCCATGCCATACCTTGAACATAATGGCAATGGGAATGCAGAATCTGATGGACAGAACCTGAGGAATAGAAATAGGTAAGGTCATTCTTGATCTTTCAATAAACAGATATTTGCTATAGTTATTTTGGTTGGGCATTCTCTCTCACCTTTGTTCACATCCCATATGATGCAAGAATTATCCACTGACCCAGAGATGAGATATGCACCATCAATGGACCACAGGAGATCGAGCACATCCTTGTGGTGAAATCTAACTCAAGAAAAGCCAGTCGTGAACATAGGATTCATGCAACAAACATATGGCCTGAAAAGCTCTAAACAGAATCTGACAATTTGATTGAAATACATCTGCAATTGAACTCCAACATGCAAGATTGCCAGGGCTAAATCAACTAGATAAACTGAATTCAAATTATTCACCTTAGTATCTAATATAACTATGGCGAATTTAGGATGATAAAATTTTGAAGAAATAGGATGTGTATAAGACTAAGAAGGTTAGGCTTGGCAGTAATTCTAGAGAAGACAGATGGGGTATAGGTAGGTAGAGCAGATAACAAAGCACCAAGCCTTCACCAATCACTAAGTTTCATTCATGCCAATCTGATTTGGTGTTTAACTAGCAAGTTTCATTCACCAATCAAAGAAACTTCAGCACTACTCTTATTGAAGAAATAAATTAATGAATTTTATGTTTCTTAGTAATCCAGTAGTGACAAACAAGATTGATGAATGAAATTATCCTAATTGATTCCCTCTCGGCCTTCTAAACCCTAATCTCTCTTCCATCCTCAATTCTTTCTTATCTCTCTCTTTCTCTTCTATTATCTCCTAATTCCCTTGGTGTTTCTTTTATTCTGTCTCATTCTTCTTCTCTAAACCCCTCTATACTTCTGAGTGGAACATACAACACTGAGACATAGGTATTCACTTGCCAGAATGCGAGACAAGTGAACAACATTCACGGCGGAACTATGGTAAGAAAGGCTGTTTTGATATGAAGCTACTGGGAGTTTCTTCTCCGTTTCGCTCCAACTTATTGACCAAAGCTGGTAAATATTAAACTTTTAGTCCAACAATTAACAACATGAAATCACTATAGCAAGAAAAAAACGTAACAAAATTAAATCAACATTTTGAGCGACTACCTTGATGTCTAAATCAGCGCCTCCAGTGGCGAGAGTGCCGGGAATCGGGTGGCAATCTAGGGTTAGGACCGGCTTGTTGTCGTGCTGATATGATAGCTTAATCACTATTAAGGGTTTAATTCTTAGGATTATTAGTCTTATTCCTGTTTTAGTGTAGTTTGTTATAATTGTCCAGCTGGCATGATAAGTTGTAACTTGTATAAGAGCACTAGCTCTTAGTATTGTGGGAGATCAGAATTTACAAACAGAAATACAAAACCAAAAAACAATTCAAGAGCTCTGCTCTCTCTCTCTCTTTCTTCCTTCTCCCTCTCTATCCTTTGTGACTTGCAGGTTGATTAAGGGGTTAGAGAATTGGGGTCGTATCAATGGTATCATCCTTCTCGAATCCTGGTTTCCCTCATGTGCATGCCCACCCGACCCGTCTTCATGCCATGGATGCAAGCCTCTCCGCTGCAATCGACTCCTTCGAAGCTTCGATGCGCTCGATGCGCGTTGCGTTCCGTGAAGCTATAGATTATGCTCTGGCACCCATCCGCCGTGAAATTGCTTTACTTCGCCGTGACTTGGTTCTCGGCGTCGAGGGAGATTCTGATCCAGCCTCAATGTGTTCCACGGAAGCTGAATCGATCGAGGCAGGTCATCAGAAACTTCAAAAACTTGAGACGTACGACGGAGACGGTAACCCACTGCGAATTCCGTCGACAATCCAAGACCATTCCATTTTGCCATTGCTCTTATCGTCACCGATGTTGAGAGCATTTGCAAGTTATCCGGTCAAGCCCCAATTGAAAGAGTCTGTGGCAGCCACAATTCCACTGCAACATTTTGAGAAACCCATGCCTGTTGCGACAGTGACCACAGTGCCGTTCCCATTTTCAGCAATCGTTGGCAAAACTGCAGCCTTATCTCAACTAGCAAACCATGATGCCAATGATACCAGCAACATTAAGGGCTATGGAGACCACAAGAGTGTCAAATTACAGATTATTCGCCTCTGCAAGCAGCCGTCAATGAATACAAACACCACCAAATGTAGACATGAGGTATTGAGATCTTTGATTTACAATTTTAAAAATCGGAAGGCCATGTGGCATTGGTTTTTCCATAGTTCCCTTGCGTGTTATACTGATGGCAAGGTGGACATGAATGATGCTTATTTGAATGAGATAAATGGTTGGGTCGGCATGTATGAGGTTGGCAAGTTTGTGATCGTTAGGAATGCAAAGAAAGTGTTTGATGAAATGCCGAAGAGAGAGTGTGAGAATATTATCGATCTACAGGCTGATTTCTCTGTGTTGTTCCCTACTAACCTTGACTTGCGGTCGGTATGGGATCCCGGAGATCCATTGGCTCAAGCTGTAAAACTGATGCTCTATCTTCAGTGCAAGGAGGGCAAGCGCATGGGTAAACAACAGTCATGCTTTTGTTCGAGGCATTGTGGTGGTGACTGGCATCACGCAGCTATGCCATCACTAGTATCTTGGGTTGTAGTTAGGAGGGTTGGGACATGGGAACCACCCCATGCTAATCAGTACAACTTACAGAATGTCAAAAGAGAAAAACACAAGGATAATCTTTTCGAGGTTCAAAGACTTTTGCACTTGACTACTCTTGGCAACTCTAAGTTGCACATTGCCACTTTATGGAAGATGCTCAAGCCTTTTTGGAATGCATCAACCATTACAGACTACATAATGGAAATTGAGTTCTTGTGGGAAAAGGATATCAAAGTTGCTCTGTGGGGAGGCAATACCACTTCCTTAATTTTTTCAGCTTTTGAGTCTTGGCTTGTGGTAGAACACACTAAGGGCATCTTCAAGCAACAGTGGCTTTCATTGACATGTTCTAAGGTTACATTGGAGGCTATTATAGCTAAGGCAGGGTCTCAATGGTATGTCCCATATCAAAAAACTCAATTCTCCATTTTAAAAGCTCCAGGGAAGTCAAGCTCTGTCTCTCCAAGTTACATGGCTCACCAACCTGACATCAACCAGAAAATGAGGGCGATTCTCATTGACTGGCTTATTAAGGTCCATTACAAGTTTGAGCTTATGGATGAGACACAATTCCTTGCCGTACATCTTATAGACAGGTTCTTAGAGCGCCAAACAGTGTTTGGACAGAAGCTTCAATTGGTTGATGTGACAGCCACGCTATTAGCTTGTAAGTATGAGGAGGTTTATGGAGAAATGCTCGACAAGGGAGTCAATCCGAATGAGTTTACCTATGTTTTGTTGAGGGTGAAAAGACTCACGGGGGACATTCCAAGCTATCAGTTTATAATGAAGACGTTGAGTGATGCTGGGAAACTTGATAAGGTGCTTAATGTGGTAGATACAATGCGTGATGATGATGGGGTTGAATTCTTTAACAATCCAATTACGAAGGCTATGTTGTTTCTGAACTTCGCTAGTGAGTCTTCTGATGTTTTCAAATCCACATATCGTGAAGTTGCTGAGAAATATAAGAAAGAAGACATAAGCTTTATCATTGGAAATCTCAAGGTCGTAGTCACTGACGGCATCCAAGAGTACATCAAGTACAGAAAATATATGTGGCTGGAGTTCTATGCTCCTTGGTGTGGACACTGCAAGAAGCTTGTTCTAATTTTGGATGAAGTTGCTGTCTCATATGAAAATGATTCCAATGACGTTATTGCAAAATTACAAGCCACTGCAAATGGTGTGCCAAGTGACTTCGATGTCAAATATTACCAACTGCCTCAATGCCTGCAGGATCAAATGCTTGCACACTTGTGTCTGAAGTTCAGAACAGACTCGGAAGATCTGCAACAACAAGAACCCCTTGATATGGTGTACTTATTTCTTGGGGTTTCAAATGACTTGCTTTTTCAGTGGGTCTGCGATGAAAGCTGGAGTTTATGCCTTCTTTGAACATCTTGCTCAGTTTTATAAGATCATTGTTTATTCAGACTACTCATATATGTATGTAGATCATGTAATGGAGAGATTGGACACTAAGCATTGTGTAACACATAAGCTGGGAAACGCTGCCACTATGTATCAGATTGCAGAAGAGATCTATACCACCCAGACTGCCGTATTGGAAACTGCTATGTCTACACTAGTCTTTGTTCAAGGATCTTCGAATTCTGTGTGCAATCGATATCAACTCAGGGCGGTAGTGTATACTGCTGATGAGGGTTTGGAGTCCATAACTGACACAAAGACTGAATTACAGCTGAAGGAGTTAGCTGAGTGTGCCTTTTATGGTACAAATTCTAATCAGCCAGTTCAAATCATGAAAGTGATGGTTCTGCGATTGACTTGCTTGTCAATTTTGTTGGACTCTGGAGACACAAGATTTTGTCAAATTCGAAGTGCAGCAACAGTCACAACCCCATTGGACCATTGCAGAAATAAAACAAGTTGTTCTTTCTTTAACCTTGAGGACAAGGTTGTTCTTTAAGGGGGGGGATAATGATATGATCTGTAAGTAGTGATTAGCTTAATCACTATTAAGGGTTTAATTCTTAGGATTATTAGTCTTATTCCTGTTTTAGTGTAGTTTGTTATAATTGTCCAGCTGGCATGATAAGTTGTAACTTGTATAAGAGCACTAGCTCTCAGTATTGTGGGAGATCAGAATTTACAAACAGAAATACAGAACCAAAAAACAATTCAAGAGCTCTGCTCTCTCTCTCTCTCTTTCTTCCTTCTCCCTCTCTATCCTTTGTGACTTGCAGGTTGATTAAGGGGTTAGAGAATTGGGGTCGTATCACGTGCCAGTTGATCTGAACATTCCCTCCTTCCATTTTCTTGGTTTTTGGGGGATTCTTCTTATTCGGAAGTAACATAGGTAAGATTACCGAGGATATTAATGTTAAAATGGAGGAAATTGAAATGAGCACATTTTATTTTTTATAATTTGTGAATTTTTTTGTTTGGTTAATCTAAAAGAATAATGAAATACAAAAATTTTTATTTTTAAACTCTCATTTATAGAAATTGAGAATGACATCTATTTACATGAAATTTAAACTTGGGAATTGGAGGTCCAAAATTCCAAATTTTTTTATCACACGGAAATTCTAAATTTTATGTTTATAAATCCAAATAAGAGAATTGGTGCACGTCAATTTATAAATTCTGACTTTTATCTAAATTTCATGTTTATTTCCTTCATCCAAACATAGTGTAGGAGCATCTCTGATTCCAACCACCACACAAGAGGGCTCATTTAGAGAATTAAAAGAATTCTCTGTGTCCTAAAGTAATATGTCTCTAATGGGGGACACATTTATAATAGAATTTCTAAACTTGAGGTTTTTGTGGTTTTATATGATAATTTGATTTGAGGCAAATTTATTGTTTGTGTTAACTTTTTTTAAATTAATTTTAGGGTAAAATACTGTTTATTACTCTCATGTTTCGTGGTTTTCAACATTTAGTACATCAAGTTTTTTTCATCCCAGAGTTATATCTAAAGTGTAAATTTTGAGACAGTCTCATACATCCGTTAGTCAAATTGTTAAGTCTCCCGTTAACTGTGACGTGGTGCCCATGTGGACAATGACTGGGCACCACGTGTCATCCACGTGGAAATTAAAAATAAATTATTTATAAAATAAATAAATTAATATAATTAATATATATATATAATAAAATAAAATAAAATAAACCTTCATCTTCCCCAAATCCCACACATGCCCACCCTCCGATCACCCACCTCTTCGTCTTCCCCGCAACCTCACCCTCTCCCTCCCTTCTTCTTCTTCCTTCTTCTTCCTCCTTCCTCATTCTTCCTCCTTCTTCGTCTTCTTCCTTCTTCTTCCTCCTCCTTCTTCTTCTTCTTCCTTCTTCTTCTTCTTCCTCCTTCTTCCTCCTCCTTCTTTTTCTTCTTCTTCGTCCTCCTTCTTCTTTTGGGTTGCAGATTCGTTTTTTTTTTCTCTCCTTCTTCTTCTTCCTCTTCTGGGTTGCAGATTCGGATTTTTGGTTTTCTTTTTCCTTCTTCTTCTTCTTCTTCTTCCTCCTTCTTCCTCCTCCTTTTCTTCCTCCTTCTTCTTCTTCCTCCTCCTTTTTCCTCTGGGTTGTAGATTCGTTTTTTGTTTTTTTTTTCCTTCTTCTTCTTCCTTTTCTTCCTCCTTCCTTTTCTTCTGGGTTGCAGATTCATTTTTTGTTTTTTTGTTTTTTCCTTCTTCTTCTTCCTCCTTCTTCTTCCTCTTCTTCTGAGTTGCAAATTCGGCTGTATTTTTTATTTTTTCCTTCTTCTTCTTCCTCATTCTTCCTCCTTCCTTTTCTTCCTCCTTCTTCTTCTTCCTCCTCCTTCTTCTTCTGGGTTGCAGATTCATTTTTTTTTCCTTCTTCTTCTTCCTCCTCCATCTGGGTTGTAGATTCTTTTTTTTTGTTCTTCCACCTTCTTCTTCTGGGTTAGGGGCGGGGGGAGGGATGTTTATTTTTTTTTCTTTTTTTTATATTTAATTAACTATTTTGATATTTTTAATGACACATGGTGCCCATTCATTGTCCACATGAGTGCTACGTCATCACTGAACTAGAGAATTAACAATTTGACTAACGGATGTGTGAGACTATCCCAAAATTAACACTTTAGGTATGACTCTGGGACAAAAAAAACATGATGTACTAAATGTTGAAAACCACGAAACATAAGGGTAGTAAATAATCTTTTACCCTTAATTTTATATTATGTTGTTGTAAAATATTTTTGTGAATATTTCGACAAAAAAATTCAAATTTTGATATCAATTTCTTTCTTCACAAAAAACATAACTAGAATTTGAACCTTTTATTTGGAATTTGTTGAAAAGAAAAAGAAAAATAAAAAGCTATATGCTAGAAGCCTGTGACACACCCTGATCCAAAATGTCTACATGAACACCCAAATCATGATGTGCTGGCCTTGAAGGTGACGAAGCCATAAAACGTAGTGATGTGGAAAATATGAATAAATTAAAACATAAAAGTGTCTAATTTAGAGTGCACATGTGAGTGGAATTGAACCCATATCACACAAGTGATGTCAGAGCATAGATAAATTGCAATAAGAGAAGAGTAAAGACATTTATACCGAAAGGAGAAGTCTCCTACATAACAGCTTTGGCCAACAATCCTCGTCATCAAGAAACATCTGCCACTAAAATCCTGGAGGGGCGAAAAACAAGGGTGAGAGGGCCTAAAAATAAAGTTTTGTAAAACCTTTTCGAAAAGTGTAACCCCTTGCTATAAAACAAGTATATGGTTTCCCAAAAATAATATAATATTAGTATGTAATACGGTACCCTGCAGCAAAAGTGAGTGACAAGATGTAGGGTACACCAACAAGATATCACAACATTAAATCTCAAATCGATATCATAAGAAAACAATGCTCATTAATTTATGTAGGCACACATGTCCACTGCAGAGATATTTAGACAGTGGAACAGGCTGGGTGTAAGTTTTACATTCTAGTACTACATCACATGAGCTGCACTAGTTGCATTACATACGAGTCCAACACATCATACAAAAGGACATGCTGACACCTAACTCTGGATCCAAAGCGAATGTAAACGGTGCATGTGAACTACACGTGAATCTAGTCCTTAGCCCAGTACAGTACAAATAACTAAGAGACATCGTACAAACAAGCAATAATGAGCAGGTAAAACGCAAGGATGTCATGCCACAGTTTATGCTCACAAATGATATAAAAACATAAAGTGTGCAAAAAGTCTATTTGTAAAGCTAAATATGGCATGTCACATCATAATATATAAAAGCAGTTGTTGGAAAAAACACATATACATATATATGTACGTAAAAACAAAAATACCAACTCACATAACCATAGCTTGCTTGCTCTCGATAAGCCTTGTCATTCGTAAATCCGAATAAGCTTGTACCTATACCAAGTCACATTGACTTAGCAAAATACTTAAAACATAAATCACACACAAAATAGGTAGATTACAGTTAATATGTCCAAAACTCCCCCTAAAACTAGAGGTAATTGCTAAACTGCCCTAATTTCATTAAAATACCAAACAACCCTAAAGCTTTTAGCAAATTTTGCATTTTGATCCTTGTTGTAAAAACAGTATGCCAACAACATTCTTTCCTAAAATTTCCCACCAAACCAGCATACCAGCATATATTATATGAATTAGAAGTTGGGACAAGAGAAACATAAGTATACCAAATGGTTTCAAGGTGGCCGGAACTGTCTAGAAAATGGCCTGCAAGGGCGGAGTTTCCTGTCGGAAACTAGAGAAAAACCCAAAAATAAGTCAAGGTTCCCGAGTTCGATTTCGATGCATTTCCAAGTGAAAAAACACAGATTTAAGTCTCAAAAGAAGTTTTAGATTCCTACCCAAAATCAAATTTGGAGGAGTAGATATCGAATCCGCCTCAGATTCAACAAATGGAGCTTGGTGAGGTTCGGCAGCTTCTGGAAATAGGAAACAGTATCCATGCATGTCCAATCTTAGTGATTTCCAGCTAAAAAAAAAAACACTTGCATGAAGATATTTAGTACCTAGGATCGATTCCAAGTGAGTTCGAGTGTCACCACTCGCAAATTTGACAGAAGTTTCGCTGGAATCCATGGGAACTCGTTGGGGATCTTATGCAGTGAGCACACCAAGAGAGAGAGAGAATGAGAGGTGGTACGGGAAAAAAAAGGTGGGGAGTTGAGGTGGTTGTGGTGCTTATTGAATAACTGTGATTTCATTTTTTAATGAATAAGATTACATTGTTGGTATATATACAAACCATATAAAACCTTGTACTTAACACCTCATCGATCTAACAGAAAGGACAGCTCACCTAACTAACCAAAATATAAAACAGATATAACAACTCTAAGTTTTATCCTTTACAATATTATCTCTAATATTCCTCCTCAAACTGAACTAAGGTAGATGAAGTGA